CTCCATACTCCAAGAATTGGTAGAATAGCACCGCGTTCATCACAAACTTTTCCATAATCTTTTTTTAATTTTCATGCACCATTCATGTGTTTTAATTGTTGATTTACACTAATAACATCTTTCTGAAGCGATTGGTAATATTTAATTGAACTAACACTGCCTGTAGCCAGATCTGCCATGGACGAAAATTAGGTTTTTCAGAGCTTCAAAATAGGGCTTTCATGTAGAGGAAAAATTGGACATTGAGACCTATGCCATTGAATTCAGGAGCTCCATACGAACTGAATGATGACCTCGCGCCTTTTTTATATTACAGCATCTTCTATTCGCTATTTTCCATGGCTGTATTTAGTGGGGGTTTAAAACCCCCGCTATTTGTTTTCTATTTGTAGGAAGAACGAAGACGAAGCTAGCGTGTCATCACATGATAGGGGCATTCAAATTTGGCGCGTGATTTTTTTGTTCATACCACTAACGCTTGTTTTCTTATATAATAATCACTCTTCATTATGTTAACAAATAAACGCATTAGCTCAATTGGTGGATGAGTTGTCTTGCAGGTATAGGGACCTGGGTTCGATTCCCAGGTCCCCCCATACGCTTAATAATTTTTGTTTCAATATCTTCTAGTGCAGCACATCCTTAAAAGTTCACCATACGCACTCATGCTCAGGCTTGCCACATACTCATGAGGATCAATCTGAAGGCTACAAAAGGAGGTCTATCATATACCTCAGTCAATGGATGAACACCCAAGCTGGAAAGTCAAACAAGACTTTGATTCAATGGGCCAAAATTACTGCAAGCACCTCCATAATGGGCCAGACACCCCCAATGTTTGTATTCTATTTTTATTTTCCTTTTCTTTTCTTTTTAATTGTTTTAATTGTTAATTGTTTAATTGTTTTATTTAATTCACCTAAAATAATTTTCAATAATAAAAATCAGCAACCAAAAAATGTTTAATATTTAATTCTTATCAATTTCACTATTAGAATATTTTTTGTAAATAAACTCTAACCATTAATTTAGTAAATTAGGTTTTAAACTTTAATCTTTTCTTAATAAATAAAATAAGTAGAATTAGGATTTTTTTGATCTTTTCATCTTTTTCTTAAATAAATAATTTTCTCTCATTAATATTATTATTAATTGCTAAATATCTTTGTAAATAAACATGTAATTTAATTAATTAGTGTAAATTAGATTAACTTGAATATTTTCTTAAATAATTAAAAATAATATAGAATTAGGGATTCCTTGTAAATTCTTTATTTTCATAAATACAAAAAACATAAAAACAAATTCTTTTCTTAATTAAATAATTAATTAGCTTTTTAATTCAATTTAATTTCAAAAGGGTCAAAGCCCTCAGACATTCAATTTCAATTTCTTTTCGCGTATTTATTTTCTTTTCGAATATTATGTAACTGCTCAAGACTTGTAATAGTAATTAGGTCTTTTTACTTTCCACATTTTTTATCAAACGGGTCTTTGTAATTTGGCGATGTATAGACCCGCACCTTGTAATAGCGTAGGATTTTACTTTCCGCATTTAAATTTCCGCACTCTTAACTGCTAAACTTTGCATGAAAGAATGTATGGCTAATTAAAACAAGCGTAGCTCACAAATGCCCTGATCAAAGATAAATATTGACATGAAAATAACACACAAATTCACACACCACTTCTAGGGTACGCCTCACCTGTTGCCTTACCTTCGAAATGTGGTCGTCGAGTATAGGACGTTTTAGTAAGTCCTTATGTCCATGATCCAGTTGCCTCGAAACGGTTGCCTCGGATTAAAAAAGGATCAAGGGCATAAGGGTAGCTTCTAAGGTGTCCTACTGTTGCTCTGGTGACCACACTGCCCCTACAAACAAATTGACCCAAACACCTCCAACGGTGGTGCTACCTACCTCTCAATGGTGGGATGGCACTACCTTAAGGACATTTACACCACCTAATTCCTTAGGGTAGGTAGATGACTCATAGATACTTGCTCTATTCAAAACAAATCAAAACCTTTACACACCGACACTTTCAAAAAGCTTTCAAAACAATTTTTCAAACACTCTTGAGGACTGATACAAGAGTTATTCAGAAAACTTTCAAAGAAACTTTTTTTCAAACCCACTCCCAATTGAAAAGCAAACTTTTGAAAACACAATGAGCAAGTATCTAAGAGCCCATGGATAACCATGGATAGAAAGGGTGCTAACACCTTCCCTTTCTATAAATCTACCTCCCGAACCGAGAAACTATCTCATAAGGAATTTTGCTGTGCTTTTGTCCTGTCCATGTTGGAGAAAATAAAAGACGGCGGCGACTCTTGCTTCCGCGACATTTCACGAAACCAGCGTTAAACAGTCAGTTCTAAATCCACCGATCACAGAACTGGCGACTCTGCTGGGGAATACTATTAAAGTGAGGTGTACCTTAGGATAGCTCATACTTGTGTTTTCAATTGCTGTGTTTGTTTGCTTTATTATTGTGGGCTGCATCGGAGTTACATAGATCCTAACCTGGATCTGGGGATACCCTGTTAGGTAGCATAACCTGTGAGGGACATGTCCGGCATAGACCGACACGGGTGAAGCAGTGGCTACATTGGTGTGGTACCTTGGTCTGTACCGATATCCCTTGTGTTGCAACGAGGAGAATATGGGTCTTCTGAGGAGTCATTAAGCACCAACCGACCTTAGAACCTTAAATGACCCAACTTGGCCAATAGAACAGTAGCAGTATGCTACACCCATTGAGGCTAAACTCTCGCGATGGTTCTGGCCGCAAGAAAAGATTGCGATGCTGGAGTTATGACCGATTGAGGGTAGTCAGTGATATTGGGATCCTCTAGAACCCGGTTACTTCTGATAGGACAGGTCTTAACCAACAAACTGAAAGAGGGTAATACCTAGACCCCATGCTGGCCTAAACTCTAAGGGCTTGTCTTGTGTGACTTGTGTGCCTTATCATGTTTGCCTTTGTGAATATTTGTGGTGTGCTTTATCATAACATCATGCCATCATAAACATTGCATGCATCCTGCATAAGGACTGTGTAGCGGTGAAAATCAGAGATCAAGCTATTAATTAACTTGACTCACAAAAAGCAAGAGTCGCCACCGCGCTTTATTATTTCCAAGGGAAAAGGGAAAAGAGCGAAATAAAACCCTAAAGTATGCAATGTAAATTAATATTTAAAAGTAATGAAAATACAATGCGTTTTTAAAAGAGATCGAGAGTTCGGGGATTGGTTATACAATGGGAAGGTATTAGCACCCACTGCATCTGCGGTACTCCGCAAGAACCTTTCGAAATATCTGTTTTTTGGTTAAAATTGTTTGTTTGATTAAAATAAATTGTTTTGGTTAAAGTGGTTCGTTTGGACTTGTTTTGGCTTAAAAAGGTGTGAGTTTTAAAATTGAGTCTTTTGGGAAAATTATCTTAAGTTTGGCGAAATAGTAAACAAACAAAAAAATGAATGAGGGTATTCGCATGATCGTAGAAGATGTATTTGATGACGTGAAGTCAACAAATTTAAATCTTTCCCTTGGAGTAAATCGAGCGAGCAAAATAAAATAGACATCAAAATATAAACAATCAGAATTCACAAGAAAATAAATATAACGAAACAAATTAATGACCTAAAGGCATCGAGAAATTAAAATGACAAAGATATTTAAATAAAATAAAAGAAAATGTAACTAATTATCTAAAGAAGTTATTTAAACTATATTAAAAATTTAAGATTACTTACTAAAAAAATTCTAAACTAACTACAAATTCTAAGGTTGCAAAAATAGTTCTAAAATTACTAAATTAAATCTAAACTAAATTAAACATTTTAAAATTAGTAAATTAAATCTAAACTAAATAAAAATTCCAAGGTTGCTAATCTAAAACAAAAAAAGTTCCAAAGTTACTAAACTAAATCTAAATCAAATAAAATTCTGAAAGAATATTAAACTAATTCTAAACAACTAAAATTCTAAACTTATTAAACTAATTCTAAATCGAATAAAGTTCTAAAGTCCCTAAACTAAAACTAACAACTAAAATTCTAAAGTTAACTTAAATAAAATCAAATAAAATTCTAAAGTTTACTAAATTAAAACTAAAACAAAATAAAATTCTAAAGTTTACTAAGTCAAAAACTAAAACAAATAAAATTCTAAAGTTTACTAAGTCAAAAACTAAAATAAATAAAATTCTAAAGTTTACTAAGTCAAAAACTAAAATAAAACTCTAAAATTTACTAAGTCAAATCTAAATGAAATAAAATCCTAAAGTTACTAAAATAAAACTAAAATAAAATTCTAAAGTTTACTAACTCAAAACTAAAACAAATAAAACTCTAAAATTTACTAAGTCAAAACTAAATGAAATAAAATAGTGATTGTTACTACAACACATAAAATTCTAAAGTTATTAATTATGATTCTAAATATTTTAAAGTTATAAAATACATCTAAACTAATTAAAAATTCTAAATTAATACTAAACTAAATCTAAATATAAGATTTACTAATATTTTTTTTATATTTTTTTTTTATCTCTGAAACCTAATAAAATATGAAATAGAAAAATAAAACACACTGGGATGGCAGATGGATGCAACGTCCCTTTGTTGCATCTCTACATCAATTGTTTAACCCCTTAACGACCCAATTACAAGGTGACACATGGACATATTTTTATATTTTTATTAATAAAATAAAACAACAACAAATGAACATAATAACAGAGAAAATCATAAAACACAAACCCATTTTCAGCATACCCGTTTTCTCTTCCTCATTCTAACATTCTGCTTCTTCTTTTCCTGCATACCCATTTTTTTCCTTAATCTAACGCCTGGAAGTGGATGACGTCTCCGATCTATGGAAGAAGGTTGGTGGTAACTCTAGGTTGGCAGGATAAGCGTGGTGTTTGGTTGCAATTTGCTTGGAGGTTGGGACGGATCTGGAGGTCTCGAGGAGTTGATGTGCAGAACTGGTGATGGTGGTGTGTGATTTTGACGATGGAGGTTGGCGTGACAGAAGAGGAAGTGTTGTTGTGTGGCTGAGAGGTTCGATCTGGCACAGAGGATGCAGTGGTGGTGCGGTGGGATTCGTCAGCGGCGGATTCGACTGGGGTGTTGTGGTAGTATGGTCGATGGTATGACGGAATCGGTGATGGTGTTGATGGTTCGGTGATAGAAATGGATGGGAGGAGATTGATGGAGAAGGTGGATGGTATACAGCGAAGATGAAGGGGTTTCGGTGAGGAGAGGAAATTGTAGGCGATTAGAGGTTCAGTTAGTGGCGGAAGGGAGCGATGGAGTTAGCTTGCGGAATTTGGCGCTGGCAGGTCTGTTGGGTGAGTGTTACTACTTTTTTGTTGTACATAATCATGTTACAATTTTCCTAATTTTTTCTGTTCTCTTTGTGTGTTTCTCAGTGTCATTGTTTTGCTTTGTCTGTTGCGATGTTGTTTGTTGTGAGGTCGTAAGCATGGTGAGATATGTGAGAATTTGACATTTAGGGTCAGTGAGGGGTTAAGGGTTGTAGAAGGTGTGATGATGGATTAAAGATAGGTCGTATAAAGTTGGGGCATGGTTTATGCAGAGGTTATGACATCATTTTGGGAAGAGTTTTGAGAGAAGATTAAGTAGAGCTTGGATGGTTTTGAGGTTTGGTTCTCTTAGATGATGATGGATGATTTTTGTGTATGTCCTGTTCGGTTTTCAAAGTCTGAGTTTTATAGCCAGGAAAGAAAGAAAGAAAAAATGAATTTTGGGGGGAAATGGTTGTGAAAGTTGGTTTTGTTATAACTGTTTTATTGCTTTTTAGTACAGGTATTTGTATGGCTATTTTTGTTTTTATTTCTTGGACTGATATGCAGGGTTTGGAGCAGCATACAGCAGCAGTTTTTTGGCAGTATTTGTGTAGAATTTTTGACTTGTTTTTGGACTGATATGCAGAGTTTGGAGCAACATACAGCATGGATGATTTTGGGCATATTGCAGTAGCAGAATTTGGAGTGTAGTATCATTGGAAAGGTCCCTTTCTATTTTGTATTTTTATGATTTTACCATGTAACAATACATGTATCTTCCCTCTCTTTTTCTTTTGAAATTGGACTGATTTTGTTTTCATATATTTTGTTGTTTTGGTGGACAGATTTGGATGAAAATTGAAGCAAGGTTTGGATGAGTTTTGGGAGCTTGATGTCATTTATAAATAGGACTTGGTAGTTTTGAATTGATGTATTTGATCATTTGATGATTGAATTTGTAACTTTTATTATGACATTGAGTGTTTGAGTGAAATGACAACTTTTGGTGAAACATGGTTTAGACTTTGTAACTTGTTATATTTGAATTCAAAATTTCCATAATTCCAAATTGTAAGCATTATAAATTGGATGGAACTTTTGTCCCTTGTATTCGAACCTCTCTTGAAAAACATTTGCAACTTTGAATGGCATTTGAACTTGACATTTGAATTTTGAACATTGTCTTGAAAGTTGAATGGTGTGCAACTTAAAATAATGAATGTTTGAATCTTGGCATAATGACCTTAAATCAAAAGGAATTTGTATGAATTGAAAGAAAGGTAAATGTTAAAACTTTAATGAATCGAATCTTAATGAACAAACAAATGCCTTAAGAAATTTAATCAAAAATCCAACTTCGCTCCATTAATCATTAACGCTCAAACACAAGTGACTTGAATTACGAGCAATAGATGATCAATGAATCTTCAAACTCAACAACTTATTTGATGAATTATCTTAACATAAGAATCAAACGTCCTTTGAGAAAACGTTTGTGGCATAAATTGAACCAAGCACAAATTGACCCCGACCTTTGAAGTAATCTCATAGACAATGCTATTTGTGACACTTCACAAAAAAGAATTGCCTCGGGACGTTGAGAATTGAAGAAGTTATGAACCTCGAAATCTGGACAAGAGTTTCTTGTGATTAGGTTAAATTTGCAAAAAGACCTCCAAAGTATTCGAATTTTAGATGATCCTCCACATACAATCAACTCTTGACTTGTAAAGAGGAGTGGGAGATGACATCAAGGAGAGTCATACGCAAAAAGAACCACTCAAAAAATATGGAATAATGAAGAAGTTATGATCGTTTGAACTTGATCTTGCAAAAAGTTGAATTTTGGTCGAAGTGCTTTAAATCATCTCACATAGCCTGATCTTTTCTTGCATTCTAAGACACATTGAAGCACACGTGAACCAGTGATGATGGAATCTTGTATGTGCTCTGAGGAACTTGTGGAGAAGTTTGAGAGGTTAAAACTGGCCATATTTCGTGCCCTTAATTTCTTTGAATAAAAATGCAAATGAAGATGGGATCTTAGGTCAAAAATTGGGGTACAACAGCTGCCCCTATTTAAGTTTCTTCTATCTGGAGATATGAAGATTGGGATCTTCATTTCGACGAGATTGAAGGGACTTAAATATAGAATACACAATTTTTGGCCTTAAGATACCGCGATTATGTTCATGATATGATATGAATGTAATGCTTTGAATTTTATGGGGAATGACGCCATATGAGACAGACTATGCTGGAGAAACCAAGCACATTATACAGTAATCCCACAGAGGAAGGGGTTGTAACTCCACCGGGGAAACAAAGTCATAGACTTCAAATGAGAGACTCTTGAATGATTTACATCAGTGTTGAGACTGGGAAAGAAATGATTTACATCAGTACGAAGACTGGAAAAAGAAATGATTTACATCAGTACGAAGACTGGAAAAAAAATGATTGACATCAGCACTGTGGCTGGAGATAAACATCTTTGATTTCTGAATTTTACCAAGAACGGTAACACATTTCTTCTTTAACCAAGATATCGCTTGAAAAGGATAAAATAAAAACTTCCCCACGGGACTTTTCCGAAGGGGTGCCATTTGCTGAGTAGACATTATTGTTGGGGATACACAAGCTGCTCAAATAAAGAGGCCGCCACTTGCTTCCTTTCAAAGGTGTCAATAACATACAAGCTGCTCATGAAGAGACCGCCACTTGATGTCTTCAAAGAATATTAAAGCACACAAGCTGCTCATGAAGAGTCCGCCACTTGTTGCCAAAAACCCACAAGCTGCTCATAAAGAAGCTGCCACTTGCTGTCTTCAAAGAATATCAAAGCACACAAGCTGCTCATGAAGAGTCTGCCACTTGTTGCCAATAACCCACAAGCTTCCCATGAAGAAGCTGCCACTTGTTGTCTTAAAGGGAACAATAACACAAGTTGTTCAAATAGATAAGCTGCCACTTGCTGTCTTCCAAAAACTAACGTACAAGCTGCTCATGAAGAGACCGCCACTTTCCGTTTTCCGTACAATCTGCTCATGAAGAGACCGCCACTTGCTGTTTTCAAAGGTGACAATAACATACAAGTTGCTCATGAAGAGACCGCCGCTTGCTGTTTTTCAAGAGAACAATAACACACAAGTTGCTCATGAAGAGACCGCCGCTTGCTGTTTTTCAAAGATAACAATAACACACAAGTTGCTCATGAAGAGACCGCCGCTTGCTGTTTTCTCTAAGGTATCAATAACATACAAGTTGCTCATGAAGAGACCGCCGCTCGATGTTTTCAAAGGTGTCAACAACATACAAGTTGCTCATGAAGAGACTGCCGCTTGCTGTTTCCCAAAAAGATACCCATAAAATATCGTGAAGATATTGCTGGAGGTGAGAAACAATAATTTCATCGGGGATGGACAAATTGCTCATGAAGAGACCGCCATTTGTCATAAAGAAATCAGAAATAATCAAACTGCTCAAATAAAGAGTCAGTCGCTTGTTGTCATGCCGATATTCCAGAAGAAGGTTGTGATAACACTACTAGGGAATAAAGTTCATCTTCAATGGGAAACCATGAATGGATTCTTCCTGAGAAGGCCAAGTATTTACATTGCAAAATAAATGCACTCTCCATCTAGGTTTCACAGCCTAGAGATATCCACAGGGTATCGTTCACAAGAGACAAAGCTCAATCCAGGAGTAAACTGGAGAGAAAAACAGTCAAACAAGACTCCACCCAATGAGGAAACAACTCAAATGGGGATTTATCCTATCCAGAGATGGAAAAGGAAAACTAAAGCAAGATTCTTCCACGAGAGTTAACTCAGTGGGGAATTAGAAAGAAGGTGCACTTTTTGCTTAAGTTGGCACTCTACTTGGAAAGATCAAATACATTATTTGAATAGACACAACCAAGGTATACGAACTCAATGACATCAACAAATACAACTGTGCGTGCATGATGCAAGTGTGAATGAATAAATGAATGCCATGTATGTGCTGACAAAACAAATAGACAAGATAAACTGGAGATGATAAGACATCATAGCACAACCCAACACTCGGCTAATCTCAACGGGATGGGAACATTACTGGAGATAAAACACAGGCCATCATTGGAGCAAGGTCCTTTTACAAGGCTTAAATATCTCTGGAGAGGAAGATATTTTCAGGTAGAAAACCCAAAGTCAAGTCTTCTATTATCGACAATTCATTGAAAGTATAACAACACGAACAATGCTTCAGCTGGAAAAAGTCATGCTTAGCTGGAGATACTGGGAACAACACCCTATGATAATGTGTGCAATACATATCACATATCTTGACAAATCTAGATTGCCCCTGGGACCAATTTTGGATGCCCCAAGTTTACTGCTGATAAGCTGCATGTTGCACGACAATTCTTGCGAATAACTTCTCTTCTAAAATGCCCCAAGCTATATGGTTGGTGAGGAGAAATAATCTCAAGAGGATTTTACAAAAGACCTGGCATTCACCATGCTCTGGTGTCTTCAAACTCTTAGAGATTCAATAAATCTCGACGTGATTGCCCCGAATTGACTGTAGTTGGCACAACAAAGTCTTCAACTTTTGCCCCAATAAAGGGTAAACAAGTTGGGAAAGCATTAACTGGGAGAAGCAACATGTTCGCGCTTACGGTCTTCAGGTGACATGCCCCTGGATATGATTTTTTTCTTGAAATGATTCGCCAATTGCCCAACATAGTTTCAGGCCTTAAAAGAATAAACTCATCACTGGTGCTTATATGTGAGTTTCCTTGATATCAAACAAATGTTTTGCAGTTAGAAAATTTTATTATGAGAATGAAAATTCTAATGCAACAGTTATGTAAGTCTTGAAGATTTTGAAAAGATATCGCACAAATTTGCGAGTTAGAGCATCATTTATTTTTGTACAGGAAAAACATATGATACCAACATAACTATTTAGAACATTCATGGGAGTCAGGAACACTATCTCATTGAAGTATGCTTTCAAAATAACCTTGCTTCAATTAGGACTTTTGAAGGTTGTAACGTGGTCTGGTTCATGGTTTTTAGAAAAAAGATTTTAAGGCTCAAAATATTTGGTGCCCACCCATTCTTCATGATGTTCTCCAACCCTATGTTTAGTTAATTCAACATGAGTGTTCATCTCTCAAAAGGATTTTGTGACGGTCAAGGAAACGATGAGGCTTTCGGAGTAGAAACCGCCCTCATGTCTTCGTGTTTGTAGTCACCAATTTGTTCTTTGTTGAGGACTTTTCTTTGCAGTCCTTTTCTTTACAATTTTATTTTCCCTAACTTTTGCCTGAACTAATTCTTTTGAATTGATAGTCCAGCGGGATGCCTTAATTTTGCCTAAGTCACACGTTTTCATGTTTTTGACTTAGCAGGCTTTTTCTTTTTCTTGATTTTTGACTTTTTGAACAAAATGTGTGACATTAGCTTGTCTTTGCTTGTTGAGAGGATTGTGATTGCCTCGTTTCTTGATGAATGAGGGATAACATTGTGGTTCCACATCCTCTAGATTCATTATACATGGAGGATAACCTTCGTAGTTTCTCTTCAAAAAACACCTTCCTTATGAATTTTGAACACTCAGTCAGATTAACTAAAAACTACCCAGCCCCAGGTTAAAATTCAAGGTTTTTTTCGTATAGAAAAGAAACTTCTGCTTCAAAGGCTCAAAAGGGGTTAGCAAGG